TTTTTCCTGTTCGGGCTTCAATTTTTAAATCTGCATTAAGGCGGTTTAAGTTTTTTATGTTTAATTCTCTTAAGCCACTAAATACCGAAAGCACCACAAACATAGAAGCACTTGCAATAGTAAATGCCCCAATAGCAATCCATAGGATAAAAGTTACCGCATGAGTGCTTTTTTTACTCAATACATATCGAAGGGCTATAAATAAAGTAAATTTCAAGAGAAAAGTTAATAATTAGAATTTAAAACAAGTATCAGATAGTGTGTCTGTTATAACTTCGGATTATTCCCCAATCCTTTGATTTCTTTATCTATTGCATCCATTTTATCAAAAGTATCGTCTAAATAAAATTGCAAATTGGGTATAATTCGTAATAATTTACCTAATTTATCTCCAATATATTTTCGATATAGAGAAGTATTATCCTTAATTTCAGATAAAATCCTCTCTCGGTTTTCCGTAGGAAAAACGCTTAGATATACTTTGCAAATACTTAAATCCGAAGTTACTTTTGCGTGAGTAACCGTAATTATAGTATTTTTAATGGGTGATTCACCCGCTTGTTTCCTAAAAATCTCCGAGAGTTCTTGCTGAATCTGATTGGAAACTTTTTGTTGTCTTTTACTATCCATAAAATAAACGTAGGTTATTTTCTATTTTTTTGAAAGACAAAAGTACAACATTATCTTCTAATTCCTTATGAAAACGTTTTTTTCAAACCTTCTATTCGTTTTTTTAATTCCTGTTGTTTATTTTCAAAATCCTTAACATCTTTTAAATCTGTTTTTACCGAAAAATAATACTTGATTTTTGGCTCGGTTCCGGAGGGACGACAGGCAATCTTACTCCCATCTTCGGTGTAAAAAATAAGTACATTGGACTTCGGAATCTCAATGGGAGTTTCCTCGCCGGTAAGTAAATTTTTAGAGACTGATTTTTCGTAATCGTCTAATTTAATGACTTTTGACCCGTTAAATTCTGCCGGAGGTTGGTTTCGGTAATTTTCCATTAATTGAGCGATTTCCGCCAATCCGTCTTTTCCTTTTTTAGTTACCGAAATTAAATCTTCCAAATAATAACCGGTTTTTGTATAGATTTCCGATAAAACATCAAAAAGGGTTTTTCCTTGTTTTTTTGCTTGAGCAGCCACTTCACAGGCAAGTAAGGTGGCGGTTACGGAATCTTTATCTCGAACAAAATCATCCACCATAAAACCGAAACTCTCTTCTCCCCCGCAAATAAATTTCTCTTTACCTTCCGCATCTAAAATCATTTTTCCAATCCATTTAAAACCGGTAAGTCCTGCTTTACAAGTAACTCCAAATAGTTCCGCTAAAGGGAAGAAAATATCGGAGGTAACAATGGTAGAACCTATAAATTCTTTTCCCGTAATTTTCCCTTGTTCTTTCCAAAGATTCAGAAGATAATAGGTTAGTAAGGTATTGGTTTGATTTCCGTTTAAAATTTGGAGTTCTCCTTTTGAATTTCGAGCAGCAATCCCTAATCGGTCGCCGTCGGGATCTGTTCCTACTACTAAGTCCGCCCCGATTTGATTGGCTTTATTTATTGCCATCGATAGAGCTTCGGGTTCTTCGGGATTAGGAGATTTTACCGTAGGAAAATCCCCGCTGGGTACGGCTTGTTCTTCTACAACAGTTACTTGGGTAAATCCGGCTCGTTTGAGTACTTCGGGAATAAGGGTATTGGTAGTCCCGTGAATAGAAGTAAAAACTATTTTTAAATCGGCATTTGCGTCTTTGTTGTAAGAACCGTATTTTAGACTTGCATTTAAAAATTTTTCATCTATTTCTTTTCCGGTATAAACAATTAAGTCTTCGTTTCCATTAAATTTAATATCTGAAAAATCAAGTTCATATACTTTATTAATAATGTTTTTATCGTGCGGAGGAACTACTTGTCCGCCGTCGTTAAAATACACTTTATATCCGTTGTATTCCGGAGGATTATGAGAGGCGGTAAGTACAATTCCGGCTTGGCAGCCTAAGTCTCGAACGGCGAACGATAATTCAGGGGTAGGACGAAAATCTTCAAAAAGATACACCTTGATTCCGTTAGCCGTAAAAACATCCGCTACGAGTTTTGCAAATTCTTTACTGTTGTGCCGAACGTCGTGAGCAATCGCTACGGAAATCGGTTGATTAGGAAATTGTTCCAATAAATAATTAGAAAGCCCCTGCGTAGCTCGTCCTAAGGTATATTTATTCAGACGGTTGGTTCCTACGCCCATGACCCCACGCATTCCGCCGGTCCCAAATTCCATATCTTTGTAAAAAGAATCGTCTAACTCTGTAGGATTTTCATCGATTAATTTTTGTACTTGTTTTTGTGTCTCTGAATCAAAAGGAGGATTCAACCATGTTTTTGCTTTTTCTGTGGTAGTCATAGGTATAGTACTAATTATTAATATTATTAATTTGAATAGCTTAAAAGGTATTATTTTTATGTTTTTAGTTTAAAACTCCAAGTAAAAGAAAATTTGGAAACGGTATCTCCGGCTTGATCGATTCCTTCGGAATATAAATTCAAAGTATTAGTGGGGTTTTCCGGAGTTAAATTATCTATAATTTGCCTAATTTCTTTTCCTTGATTGCAAGTAAAAATCAGTTTTCCGACGGCTTTTTTGGTAAATTCCGCTTGTTGATGAATCACCAACATAGAAATTTTTTTATTATTTTTTTGAATAGCTTCTATACACAACGTACCGGTGCTAAGTTCCGCAGCCATTCCTTGCACCGCCCAAAACATTGACTTAAACGGATTTTGATTCATAAAACCTAATTTTACATAGATTTTTGCCTCTTCCTTAGAAAGAGAATACAACTTTAAACCCGCTACAAAAGCAATGGGCAATTTCAAAAATAAAAAAAATCTAAATTGAGTTTTTGTCATTCTAATTTTATTTTATCTACGTTTCTATAAATCAAAAACGGAAGGGCGTTTTACAATCAGTCNAATTAGAATTAAAATTATTTTTTAAAAATAACGGTTTGTTTAGTGATTATAGGTAAAGAAAAAAAAATACTGTTCAAAAATAGAAATAAAATGTAATTTTGGAAAAAAATATGCAAAAAATAAAATTGGTATGGGAATTTTTCGGAGAGGAGGCATTTGAATATGCAAAACATCACGCCCTTCATTTGGGGGAATTCGTACAAAAAGAACAAACAGAGGGTGAAGTAGGTTACGAAAAATTAGAATCGGTTTTTTCGGTAGCGTATGTAGTAATTCCGGAAGAAAAAATGTCTTTTTACAGAGATAAACTTCGTCCCCATAAAGGGTTTCGAGTATAAAATTACCTTTTTGGTTTCTATGAACTATTTTTTTACTTCTATCGTCTTTTTTATTTTTGTGAATGTATTTTCACAAGAAAAGAAAGTGTATTATTATGACGATTTGAAATTATTTTCCGTAAAAAAAACCGACTCCCTAAAACTATACACTACTTTGGATTCTTTAATCCAAAAAGGATATTATGCTTTAAAAAAGGATTCTGTTCAGGTAAATAAACAAGGAATTTTTATTTATTTTAAAAAAGGAAAAAATTATCAAAAAACAAAACTGTATTTAGATGCATCCGCCCAAGAAGCACTCGGAAAAACTTCCATAGAAACCACAGAAGTAGAAGAAGTTTTATATCAGATAAAAGAATTTTATTTAAAAAAAGGACATGCGTTCGTAAAAGTAAAAACGAAAATTGTAAATTCCAATGAACTTCAAACAGAAACTATTCTTTATGAGAAACGAACCATAGACGAGTTGGTATTTAACGAAAAAACTAAAATTCCCAAATCGTACAAAAAACAACTCAATAAGGAATTTTTAGGGAGAGATTACAACAAACAAAATATGGAAAGTTTATCCAATCAACTGAAAACCAATGAGTTTTTATCGGAAACCTCTCCTCCAAAAGTACTTTACACTCCCGATAGCACAAAAATTTATTTATACAGCGAGGCAAGAAAAAACAGTAATTTTGATGGAGTTTTAGGATTTAATTCCGACGAAAATAATAAATTACAACTTACCGGAAATGTCGCTTTGAACCTCATTAATTTATTTAACGGCTTTGAACGAATATCACTTGCCTGGCACAACACCGCCCAAAAAGCAAGTGAATTACAAACACAAATCTCCATTCCTTATTTGATTAAAAATTATTTGGGAAGCGAAACCTCCATTCGATTTTACAAACAAGACAGCACCTATGCCAACATCCAACTTTCACAAAAATTCTTTCATCAACTTAGTGTAAATCAAAGAATTGGAATCAGCGGCACCTATGAAAATTCCAATTATGTACTAAAAACAGACCCTACTTTGGATTTTGAAGATTATCAAAAAAGCGGGATTGGTATTAGCTACGACTACAGAAAACGCCGTGATTCTCGGTTATTGCCTATTCATACCTATTTTGGAATTACCCTTTTTACCCTAAATACCAATCGTGAAATAAGTGGCAGTCAAACGCAATACAGTATAGAGGTACAGTTTGAACGTCTGCAAAAAATCATCAAACGACACCATCTTTATTATCGTTTGAATGCTTATACCTTACTCTCAGAGGATTATTATCAAAATGAATTAAAAAGAATAGGGGGATTTCGTAATTTGCGAGGATTTAACGAGGATTTGTTTTTTGCGAGTTCTTATTTGATTAATACCTTAGAATATTGTTACGTTCCAAACGAACAACTTTATTTAAGTATTTTTGGAGATTACGGCTGGTTGGAAAATAAGGTATTTAAAGAACAACAAAACGCAATCGGAGTTGGGTTTGGTTTGGGATTTACTACAAAATTCGGCATCTTTACTCTCAATTACGGTTTAGGAAAAACCGCAGATTCTAACTTTGAGTTTCAACAATCTAAAATACATTTGGGAATTATTTCCTTTTTCTAAAAGAGCTATACTAAAAAATTCTATTGATTATAAAAATTCTATGTGACTATGTTGTTGTTTTACAACATAGTCACATAGGTTGAAAAAAAATATGTCGTTTATTATTATTTAAAAGAAAATTATTCAAAAGTAATTCCTCCGGTATCGTAGGCAAAATTTAAGGTAAGATTACCGAATTCATCAAAAAGATACATTTTTGAATCTTCTATCATTTTATAATATTCTTCGGCTTGTCCTCCATCGGAGCATCCTTTGTTGGTGCGAGTCATCTTTTTAAAATTAATATAACCGCCCTTTGCTGCATAGGAACCTTTAATGGTATCGCAGTTAGTTAGGGCATAAAATCTTCCATTTTTACCAAGAGCAAGAGAAAACGTATTTTTATCAGCCGGTTTGATTTCGGTATCGTCGTTGTACCAAGTATTTTTCCACATCCATGTTCGAGTGGTCAAATTAGAGTCGATACTATCACTTTTTTGTATGGTGGAATCACTCAATATCTGATAATCTACATTGGGTTTTGCTTCTGCTCTTTCGTTTCTTTTGCAACTAAAAAACAGGAGTCCTATTCCGATTAATGTTAGGTATTTTATGGATGTATTCATTCTCCTTTTATTAAAATTAAGAATTAAATTAACGAGATGCAAATTTACTTATTTTTTTATCAATTTTCTAAAAGCAATCATTATTTTTATAATTTAGCAGAAAAATAAAAATAGATACAGATGAAATTTAGAAATTTCCCTATGGTTCCTCGTGTGGTGTTCGGCAGAGGAAGTTTTGCTCAAACCGGCGAGATTATTGCTCCCCATCGGCAAGATAATCAACCGATGATTTTTTTTGTTGATGAGCATTTTAAAAATTCGGAACTTATTCCGCAAATTCCCTTAGAAAAAAACGATAAAATCATTTATATTTCTACCCAAGATGCACCTAAAACTTCTTATGTAGATGCAATCCGAGATGAGTTAAAAGCAGAATACGGAACGATTTCCGGAATTGTAGGTATCGGAGGAGGAAGTGTGATGGATATGACCAAAGCCGTAGCGTTAATGATGAATAATGAAGGGTCGTCGGCTGAGTATCAAGGATGGGATTTGGTAAAAAAAGCCGGAGTCTATCATGCGTGTGCTCCCACCCTCTCCGGAACAGGAGCAGAAGTTTCTCGCACGGCTGTTTTAACCGGACCTACCAAAAAGTTAGGACTTAATTCCGACTTTACGCCCTTTGACCAAGTTATTTTAGATCCTGCTTTAACTAAAAACGCTCCAAAAAATCAGCGATTTTATACGGGAATGGATTGTTATATTCATTGTATAGAATCCTTAGAAGGAACGTTTTTGAACGCATTTTCAAAAAGTTACGGAGAAAAAGCCTTAGAACTTTGCCAGGACGTTTTTTTACATAAAAACACATGGGACGATGCTTCCGACGACGATTTGATGATGGCTTCGTGGCATGGCGGAATGAGTATTGCGTATTCACAAGTAGGCGTGGCTCATGCGTTAAGTTACGGACTTTCCTATTTATTAGGGACAAAACACGGCGTAGGAAATTGTATCGTTTTCGACCATTTGGAAGAATTTTATCCCGAAGGCGTAAAAGAATTTAAAAAAATGGTAGAAAAAAATCAGATTGACATCCCCAAAGGGATTTGTGCCAACCTGACGGATGAACAGTTCGATAAAATGATAAACGTTTCCATAGGAATGGTGCCTTTATGGGAAAATGCTCTGGGGAAAGATTGGAAAAAAATCATCACTCCAAAAAAATTAAGAGAAATGTATGAGAAAATGTAAAAAAATACCCACTCCCCGAAGGGAACTATAACGTATAGATATTCCGTGTTTTAAAAGAATTAAACATCAAACATCGTAAATCGTAAATCAAACATCGTAAATCAAACATCGTAAATCAAAAATGGTAAAAGAAGCACTTTTAGGTGAATTTTTGCACGAAGCAGAAAACACAAGAAAATTATTGAATGCTGTTCCCGATTCTGCATTGGGATATAGAGCACAAGAAAAATTATGGTCTATCGCAGAGTATGCCTCGCACATTGCCGAAACGTATAATTGGTATGATGCCACTATTAATCAGGATGTTTTTGACATGAATACCTATTCGTATGACAAAGGAGATATATCTAAAGCATCAAACATTGTAGCGAAATTTGAAGAAAATTTTTTAAAAGCTAAACAAGCATTAGAAAATATGGATGAAAGTACCTTATTTACTCCTTGGACGATGGTTGCCGGCGATAAAGAATTACTTCCTCCGATGCCCAGAATTCAAGTTATACGAGGATTTTTAATGAACCATCTCTACCACCATCGAGGAGAATTGGTTGCCTATTTGCGTGCCAGCGGGAATAAAGTACCCGGTTT